AACCACAAGTAACCCTGCATTCAGAGAACGCAGTGTTCTAGTGGGGTAATAGGGTACTATGAGCTCTTCAAGATAAGAAGGGGCCTGACCAAGTACAAGAACTTGTACTTGGCTGTCTGAGTTTAACATCATTTCTAATAATGTCACCTAAGGGAAGCATATAAGATGAATAAAATTGGTCCAACCTTGTCGAACTCCATGACTTACTTGAGTGTTAATTGAGGATTCATCATTAACATGTACAAACTGAGAACACTCGGCATTACCTATCAACCCTTTATTATGTCTGTGCTTTTACTGGATTATCACATTGCAAGTCAACATTAGTTTTTTTGCCCTAAAAAATAAACTTGATATGCCTCTTCCTGTATGCCAGAGTCCCATACGGAGATCTTACAGTGACCAAAGCTTTGGCAGGACACCGCCAGGCACACCGACACAGCTGAAACAGGCACTGGCACTGCCCAGACACCCATCCAGCTTGTGAGTACCCATGCATTTTGTGTCAATAGTAGATTATGGTGCCAGGGATGTAGATAACAGTAACATTGTCAATGTTGCTGAAATAAACTGCACTCAGAGTGAGCTGAGACACACAAAACCAGAGGGTTTATAAGCTTTGTTATGGGTCCACTGGCTTTTTGTCATTACCATTATTATAATGTCAGTGAATCTCAGCTTTATTACAGTTTAAATGGGACAAATTCATTCCCAGAGACTGGGTTGTGACCCACGTGTTTTTCTTATTTTTAATTTAAAGTATCAAAAATGTGTACATTGTTTGGCTGATAATGGAAAAACAAGATCCTTAACTCCTGCTAAATGCATTTAACTTTTCTCGATTATAAAGTGAGCTTACATTCTGTAAGATGGATATGGGGTCTCCAGATAACTGCTACTGTGAGGAAAAACAAAAGCCTGTTAACTTAAGTGCTTTTATTTTGTCTCATTTATAAAGTATTTTAAATGTGTAATGTTTTACTGAAGACGAAACGATTTATCATATGTATAACTCTTCAGAACAGCTGGTTTACCTGCTCAAGAAAATATGACGTGATGCAGAAATGGCACTAAAAATGCATTTGTACACTAATTTGCTCTTCTCACTGTGAATGGGGTTGCCATGGTTTGTCATTTTTAACAAGTGGGTCCCCAGGAAAAGAAAAAAGATGGGAAACACTTGTCTACATTACTCAAAAGGGGCGTGCCTCTTATCATTGTTTGCCAGTTTGAATCTGATATCAAATGTATGTCTTTGCAACTCCATCTCCCAAGTGTATAATGCAGGCTTGTCAACTGTCAACTGAAATTCAAACTTGACAAAGCTCCTCCAACTGTGGGTTGAGTAGTACCAGTCATGACAGGTAAGCTGATATTTGAGTAAAATGTCAGTTCTCCTTGAACAATAAAATCCTATATAGCAATTTGGGGCATGACATTTGGCCAGTCTAAACAAGGTTCCTATGCAGTATGATTTCAGTCATTTTCAGGTCTGGATAAGTATAAAAAAAAAAAATATTAGTTTTTCCACACTATTGCCCCTATTCAGTTTTCCAAAGTATAATATTCAGAATTTCTTAAAATAACTGACTATACAAGCAGAGTGTTTTTCATGGCATTTGGAGCAGGCAGCAGGACATGTGTAAGTAAGCCTTTATGGCCGCATTCATCAACGTTTCCATGGGCACAGTGAATAAAGAAGGCTGCACATATGGATGCTGTAGCAAACATAGTATAATAATAATAATAATAATAATTAATAATAATAGTGTACATAGTCAGAATGCAACACACAGTTCGAATTTAAAACAAAGATAAGTGATGTGTAACCAAAAGTGGGGCTAGGTATCTGCCTCAGTATTTTTTGAAGCACAGACACACAAAATTTTCAAATGATACCCTTCTGTTGTAGAGGTCTATTTATGAAACTAAAAGCTATCAAATAAAGTGACTTGAAACTGTTTAAATGTGTTCAGTTCAGTTCTTGGGTTGTGTTTTGGATGATCTGCAATTTGTCTTAAGTTTCAAAACTTACTTTGAAATCTTAAAGGTCCAGTGTGTAGGATTTTGTGGCATCTAGTAGTCTTCCGTGCTTCACCCTCCCCTTCCAAGCCGGAAAGGAGAAACTATTGTGGCCCCAAAATGCACGAAAAACATGAACGCCCCTATCTACAGCCAGTGGTTGGTTTGTCCCTTCTGGGCTATTGTAGATATATGGTGGTTCAACATGACGGACTCCACAGGCTACCCACAGTGTTATGTACATATAAAAGGCTCATTCCAAGGTAATTGAAACATATGTTCAGGTGATTATACACTGATGAAAACATACCTTTTAAATATACCCATTAAGCAGCTACAGCAACTGATGGGCAACAGTTGTTGTCCTGTCTATATATTGGTCTATACCTCCTAAATAGTAATTTTTGCCCCTTCTCTCCCTGTCCCTTTCTCCACCTTTACTTCTCTCTTATTCTTTTCCTTACTGCCCCTCCACCAATCTCTTCTTTGTCTATCCTTTCCTTTATTGATTTCTCTTTCTTTCCCTTGTCTCTTGTCTTTAACTTCCTTTAACTGCTTCCCTTTTTTTCACTGTGTAATCCTCTTACCCACCTTCTCTCTGTGCCTTCACTTCTCCTCACTGGCTGCAGTCGATGTTCAGGCCGTCTTCTCCACCAGCAGTCCACTGCTTATCTTTCCTCTCAGACCAGTGATCCTCAGGCCCAGGCCCAGCCTCTCCTCTCCTCTCCCCTCAGCCTCCTGTCTCCACAGTCTATTCTGCAGGCGGCCAGGCAGCTGGGCCTGCAGGCCTCACAGCGCCTCCTGCAGACCGTCAGCCAGAAATACAGGTCTGAGTCATGTTTCAAAGCATTCAGTGAGCCCCTCGTCGGTCCCAAAATAAGTCCATTCACCTTTAAATGAGAAAGACATGAAAATATATTTTGTTGCCAAATTATTGTACTTTTTTTCTATGGAAACATGTTGGATTCCCTTGAAATACAATATTTGCATTGTTATTCTGACTTAACTACTTATTATCTCATAATTCTGAGATATGTTTTCATGACAAAAAAAAAAAAACTTGAATTCACAAGATACCTACAGCAGGCTGTCCATACCCAGGGCCGGCTCTCAGCCTCCTGAGCCTAACCCAAATCCTTTAACCAGTCTCCAGCATGTTCAAGCAAGTCCTGGGCAGATTTTTTCCCCCATGAAAATCTATCACAGAATTCTTAGAATTTGTTAATTCATAAAAATACAATACAGCAATACAAATGTAATACATCTCTGTCCATAAATGAAAAAGCTTTCATTATCTGGCATGATTTACATACAGAAGGAGCAACATAAAAATCTGCTTTATTATTGTTATTTGGACTAATGCCCACGCTGCTAAAATAAGTTTATTTTACTTATTTATTTATTTACTTATGTTGTCTTCAGGAACAAGTCCTTCATTTCCATGCAGTTATCGCTGCATTCATTTTGAATTTGGATGGTCTTTCAGCACCCAGTAACTCTCAGCCAATTCAATTCAGTTTCAGTTCAGTTTTATT